GGGGGTGAGGGGCGGAGGGAGGGCATTATTCTAACCACCACAAGCACCCATAAGCAAATCTGCAGGGCACAGAGCCTGGAATGGCCTACGGAAGAGGAATTTTAGCCAGCTGGGAGGGACAGGTGGGAATGAGGGTGAAGATGCTCCGATGGCAGGAACAGGTGGGCCAAGTCCCTGAGGCTCCGGGAGCAATTTTGTTTACAGAGGCTCTACATTGGCCATGGGACAGAACTGACCGACAGGAGAGAAAGGCTTTCCTTAAAGTAAAGGATATCGTGTCAAAGCAAGACAAAACAAGTGCTTGGTTCCATCGACTTCGTCTTTTTTATCTTCCCCACTGCAGCAACCAAAGAAGATTGTGTTTTGCTTTAGCTAAATTTGCTTCTACCACTGACCGTTTCTCATTTTCCAGAGCCTTTCTCAAAGCCGTCGTCACCCAGAGTTTCAAAGGGTCATTACCCAGAAAGGGAGAGACCAAGCTCAGGCCCCAACGCCGGAGCCAGCGCCCTCGTCCCGCTGGGAGAAGCCCGCTGCTTGCTGGGGGTCAGCTGCTATTCTGATCAGGGTTTCATGTTGGCGGTTTCTTTTGCATCCACTCTAGTTGCGAGGAGCCGAGGGGCAGAACCGACGCAGCAGGAAAAAGCAGTTGTTAGCAGACCGGGGTATTTTAAGAAATAGTTTTAAAATGACTGAAATTTTCGCAAGCCAGCTCTGATTGGAAATAATCATCACCAGAGTTTAGGTGGCACTTTGATTCCCAATATTTTAATTAATATTTGAGTGTCGCTACACTGGATGCTTTTCAGCTGCCTTGTTTTCGAAGAGCCAGCTGCCAGGGAGACATTTTCAATGGTACTTAACTTATTTGCCGACGTATAAGACGATTTTTTGGCCCTGAAAAATATGCCTCCAAGTGGGGGTTCGTCTTATACGCCAGGTACACTTCAGATAGACTGCCCATAGTGCTTGCCCCGTGCCATAGTGGCCTCCCGATGCCCGCCCACTTCATTCCACATACC